TTGAAAAATAATTTTTTATCAGTTTTTTAAATCAAATACTCCAGAATTGATCGAAAACAATCCAATTTTATGAAAAAATCACGATTATCGCTGAAAAATGAGTTTCTCTGAAATATTAAGCTACGTATCGCATTTTTGGCCTTCATCATATGCCGCGCAGCGAATATGACTAGATGAAATTTGAATTACCGCGCATTCCGGCGGAGCGCGCTTGCTTAAAATTAACATGCTTGAATTCAGTGAGAGTCACATGCTAACTGCGTAGCGACTCAGCGATACGTAGGCATTTTTCTCATTTTATTGAAAAGTTAAAAATCCGTGTGAAATGGAGCGTAGAAACCGAGAAAAAAACTGTACGTACAAAAAAAATTTACCGTGCGTGACATTTCGAAACCGTTGAAAATTAGAGCAATATAAAAATTCAATTTTTTTTTTGGAAAAAAAAATTTTCGAAAAAAAAATTTTTTTCAAAAAAAAGTTTGAAATTTTATTTTGTTCTGATTTTCCAGAAAATCGATTAAAATCGAGCCAAAAAATTTGAAAATTTCAAGTCTAATTTTCAGGGGCTCTTTCGAAATAGAACTGTGCCAATATAGAACTTTCCTATATCTCAAAAGTGGGTGGAGCTAGAAAAAAGTTTTCAACTACAAACTTGCTTAAAATCAAATTTGGAGCAAGTTTGCAGTTGACAACTTTTTTCTAGCTCCGCCCACTTTTGAGATATAGGACGGTTCTATATCGACACGGTTCTATTTCGAAAGGACGCCAATTTTCAACGGTTTCGAAACGTCGCGGAGCCAGAAAAATTACCTAAAACAGGCGAAATCAGGGTTGGAGAAACATCCCTCTGTACATCTGGAGACTCGGGATTGGAAGGTGGATGGGATGACCACTTTGACTTCACGAAGTTCATGGGCGGTTTTGAGGTACTCCAGGAGGTCGGCTTTGTAAAGGACATGTGATTCGTCCACCTGGGAAATTTGAATTTTTGGCGGTGCAAGCGCGCTCCATTGCGATTGCGCGCGGATTTGAATTTTTTATTTGTTTTTCTGATTTTTATAGATTTTATCTCGTTTTTTTTTTTTCATTTTTCCGTTTTTTTTTTGGTGAAAATCCTCTTTCAGGATCGACGGAGCAATCGGAAATTCGAATATACAATCAGCAGAGCGCACTTGCATAGTTTTCGAATTGTTTTTTTCAATTTTTGAGTGAATAAATTTTTTTTCGTTAATAAATGTTTTTCTCTAGAAAATAACTGAAAATATGCGCTGAAAATCGATAAATAGACCTAGAAAATTCAAAAAACCGCCGAATATCAAACATTTCGCCATGGAGCGCACTTGCATCGATGAACTCCGAGAAACATGTGGAAATTGCGATTTTTCACGCGAAAAAATTGCGGAAATAGACGGAGCTTACCTCGAAATGCATCAAATCATCGAATCGATCATTCTCATGACTGAACACCGGTGCAATCAACCCAATATCATAACAAATCACCAAACTTCGGCAGCGCTGAAATGAAAAATTGCAAACACGCTCTATTGAGAATCATCAATCTCAAAACCAATATCGGATTCGGTATTAGCTCAAAGAGCCGGTTCGAATGAGTATAATCACGACTAGGTTTCGATCACTTTGGGTCTCGACGCGAAAATAAGTTTTTACTGTAGGAATTTTTTTTCGCGGCGAGACCCAAAGTAGTCGGAACCTAGTCAT